GTCAGAGGTGGTGAGGGAGGGCTGTCCCTCCAGCCATGCCTATCAGAGTATTGACCATTCCTTCCCAGAAGGAAAGCAGGGATTGACATGCACACCCCATGCTGGAACAAATCCAACCTGTAGCATAGCAACCTCTCACATGAAAAGCACATTACCACTTTTGAAGCTTCTTAAAATTGCCATCAGACTGGGATATTCGTGCAGGTTAATTTGGCTGAATAGTGTCACCAGGAGCGATAGGTCAAAAGTCTTCTCCAGTTTTGTAAGGATATTGTACACCACTCTGGATATGGGAACCAAATTTCCACAGGCTTCCAGAGATTCCTTTAAAAATGGAGTGAGGGTTAGTAGGAATGATTGTAGAATTGAGTGAAGAGTTATAAATTTGTGGTTTCCTTAAGGTTTTGTTTTTTTTTAGATGGGGTCTCATTATGTCCCTATATAGCCCAGGCAAGCTCCACCTTGTGATTCTTCTGTCTCTGTCTCCTAAATGCTGGGTTATAGGTGTGAGCCACCATTCCCTGCTAACTTTCTCTTTTAAGAGGCAGTTTAACATAAAATGTAGAGTCAAATTATCTAAATTCCAGTGGTCACAGTTCACATGTTTACCCCACATATGTTTGGGTACCTAGTCTTAAGAGCAAATAATTCAGTTTTCTTGAAAATAAGTCTACTTTGTGGACCTTGCTTTTAGGAACATTTGAGGGAGGACAGAGATTTTCTTTCTTTTTAAATTTATTTTTATTTTCTATTTTTGCTGTAATGGGAATTGAACCTAAGTCCTCAGGCACGTTAACCAAGAGCTTTACCACTTGAGCTATGCCTCTAGTCATTCTCTTTTTATTTTATTTTTGAGACAGGGTCTTGGTATGTAGCTTAGGTCAGGCTGGCCTCAAACTCACAATCTTCCTACCTCAGCCTCCCTAGTGCTGTGATTACAGGTGTGCATTACCATGCTCAGCTGGAAGAGAGAAATTTTAAGGAAGAAAAGTAGAGTCAACGGATGTTACTGCGTCATTTACTCTTTGAGGCTTGGGGCAGGACGCCTCAGCAATGAACTTAACAGGTGGTCACTGTGAATTGCTTGCTAGCTCTGTGCTCTCCCTCCCTCTCTCTGTCCCTTCTCTACTTCTTCCTCTCTCTCATTCCCTATCCTGTCCCTATCTCTATTTCTCTCTCTTTCTCTGACTTGAATCACCTGAATGGGTTCCAAGGACTTTCTCCTGTTGAGGAGATGGACAAAAAGAGAGACACAGCAAGAGAGTTGCTTGTAGAACACTGACTAAGCTCTTAGCAGACTCGGTGAGCTAGTCCTTGGTGCATAGCAGGGCATAAGATCAGCATGGTGCTGCCATACTGGAGGGCACAGTCAGGTGGAGAAGATGGGTATCAGTGATAAAAACAAATTAAATAACTATCCAATTACAACTGAGAGTAGTGTCATGAAAGGAAAGCAGAGATTGCTTTGAGAGAGAATAACAAGGGGTCTTAATAAGATGGGTGGGCCCAGGAGACCCTTCTGAAGAGAGTCTTCTTGACTGTGATCTGAAGAGACAGCTGGAGCTAACCAGGCCCAGACTGGGGGATGTGTGCTGTGCCACTCTGCCACTTTTCCTGGACCTGGTACTAAAAATACTTAAAAACAAAACCAAGATTATATAATGAGTGTCACCTTTGTCTACATAGCCACATCTCCCAGTGCCTGCCTGTCTTACATCAGAATGGACTGTGAGCAATAAGCTCTTATAAATTGGGATGATGCCTGACATGGGTTGAATGGCACCCTTGCCCCCCAAACAGTGGTGTGTCCACTCAGAGCCTGTGAATATGAAGTTATTTGGAAAAGGGGTCTTTGAGATGAAATTATCCTGGATTAGGGTAGGCCCTAAATGCAAGTGTTCTTGTAAGAGGAGAAAGGGGGAGAAGACACAAAAGACAGAAGGCAACGTAGAGATGGAAACAGAGTCTGGAATGATGTGTCTACAAGAGGATCACCAAGGATCACCAGCAGCCACCAGAAGCTAAATACAGGAGAGAAATGGATTCTCCTCAGAGCTTCTAAAAGGAATCAACCCTGCCAACACCTTTATTTTGGCCTTCTGGGCTCCAGAACTGTGAGCCAATGAATTTCTGTTGTCTTAAGTCATCTGTTTTGTAGTCAGTCACTTGCCACAGAAGCCTTTAGATACCCTAAAATCAATCTGGCCCCTATGACATCCTGTCTCCCAATCACCCCCTCCTTCTGCGATAATGAACGTGTCTGAACTGGGCTCTCTGTGCTCCAGAACATTTGGTGGGTTGTGGTTTGAGTAAACTTGGTGAGGGCTGAGTGCCAAGGAAAGGGGTCCACTGACTCACACTGTACATTCTCTCGGTGATGAAGGAGTTGTCTCGGAGGGCTTCAAAGAAGGGAAAGGGCTTGTGTATAGCATAAGCGATCTCTAGCTTCTGGTATATGAAGTGCTGATGAAGAGCCTTTTCCAAGGCCTTGGTCACGGTGAACATCCTGTGGAAAGACGGAGGTTGAGAAAATAGAGGCCAAGATGCCAAAGAGCATGGGGGAACTGCTCCCTACATTAAATGGACACCCAAAGATAGACATTTTGGTCCCCAAGCATCTCTTAGTAGTCTGCAAAGCAACGTCTGCCTGAAAGACTCACAGATATAGGAACCAAAGATGATGTCAGCAACCATGGAGGCCAAAAGTGACCGATGACATGAGGCTGAAATCCCAAAGGGGGCTACAAGTGAACATAAGGCAAAAACATAAGCTAAATTTTTTTTGAGTATTTCCTGTGTAGCTGACTTTGTTCTATGCGTATGAAGTGATTTATTTGATCTTCACAAAACCATAGGATGTTTATTGTCATTATATCCGTTTAATTGCTAAAGATCCTGACACATACAGAGGTTATTAATTCTCACCTTAGATCACGCAGCTGGGTGAAACCAGATGACCTGGGCTGCAGCTCAAGTCATCGGTAGTGATGGTCATGGAAAAGGGACCACCTAAAAATGGGCAGATAAAAAATGGGCAGATGGAAACCTGGTCATATTTACAGACTTCAGGAATCCACATATGACATTTTGACACAAGTAGGGAATAAATAAATACAATCATGAAGAATGTACAAAGTATAATTAGTAAAGATGACTCACTGATATACCTATCCACTTATATCTCAGAATCGTCATGTGTCTTTCTCATGCCTCTGTGACATTTATAAAAATGGACCATTTATGGACCATAAGAAAATGACCAATAAGAGGCAGGAACTTTACAGATGACATTCTCTACAAATTGTCATGAAAATGGAAGCACTACCAAACAGTTCAACCACCTGGAGTCTTTTTCTTTTTTTATTCTCAGTGCTGGATATTGAACCCAGGGTCTTGTGCAGGCCAGGTAAGCCCTCTACCTCTGAGCCACATCTCCAGCTCCCCCCTGAGATTTTTTTTAAAAGAACCTTTTTTTTACAACTCACTTTGTGTTAGAAAGAATATTAAACTGTAATTCCTGATGATTTCCAGGGACTTAACCCCAGTGGTGGATTGAGCACTTTTGTCTTTTTTTCTACATTCCCACATCCTTTAAATTTGGCAGGAAAAATATTGTAAAGAATTCATAACTGTTTGAAAACAAGAAGAGATGCCACTAGCAGTCTTTGATCATGAAGGAATCCTGGAAACCGGAGAACAGAGAGCAGAGAGAAAGCTTGTATTCACAAGGTGCAGGAGGGGAGAGGAAGGGCCTTGGGGTTCCGTTTTGGATGACTCCCTAGACAACAGCATTCAGGACAGACATCACCAGTGTCCTCATGTCCTCATTCTTCACCTGCCATCACTCTCAAAAATGAAGCGAGGTACAGAGAGGTTAAGTAACCAGCTAAAGGTGCCCAGTGGCAAAGCAGAGTTTGTATGACCCTCCCCATGCAAGATGCTGCATTTCATAGATGACCCTGTTCTGATTTTTATTATCTCAGGGAAACTTCCAAAAGAATAAGCAAAAGGTAAAATTTAGGGGGAAAAGCAGACAAGGGCTGGGGGATGGCTCAAGTGGTGGAGTGCTTGCTTAGCAAGTCCAAAGTCCTGAGTTCAAACTCCAGTGATGCCAAAAAAAGACATGACCAATCAATGCAAGAATAAGCCACATGTGCAACCTGTATGGGAAAACATGTTACCCTTGCTAGTAGTCAGAAAAGTATAAACAAAAACATGTTACTTTTCTAGTAGTCAGAAAAGTGTAAACAGAAACATGTTACCTTGCTAGTAGTCAGAAAAGTGTAAACAAAAACATGTTACCTTTCTAGTAGTCAGAAAAGTGTAAACAAAAACAATTGGACAACATACTTGCCTGTCAAACTGACCAAGACCTAAAATTCTAGCAAAACTCCCAGACCTGGGTAGAAATGTAAACAGGTTCAGATGTTCTCCGGCTAACTTACCAGCCAGTGCCAAATACTCTAAAATATGTATGCCTTTGAATTTCCACTTTGGGGGATTTATTTCAAGGAAATAATCATGAATTTGCTTTAAAAAAACATACAAAAAGGTTCATGACACTAGAAATTAAATGGACTCATCCTTTCTATGTTTCGCCCCGTGTTCCAAGGAGTCGCCTGCCCCGTGGATAGAAAGAGCTGCGGGCTGAGTGCAGGTGCAGGATGAGAACTGACAGGAAGAAAGAGTTGAGGTGTGTGTCAGTTTCTGCTGTGTGTCCCCTCCCCACTTTTTCATAGTCTGCTCTTAAGTCCCCTGCCTCTCTGGAGAACACTGTTTAACAAAGAGAGAGCCTCAGCTTTGAAGTCCCCCCGGGCCACTAGTGCCACCGGGAATCAGTTGTCAGAGGTCAACTCACCTGGATGCTATGCCTTCACCTGCTCTGGCCCAGGTCTAGGTGCCCGGGGCTGAGCCCGGGATTGCTAAGGAGAGCCGGGAGCCTGCGGGGAGGGGACAGCGGGATCAGGAAGTCGCCAGCAGCTCAGGCTGCAGCAACGGGGAATGGAAAGTGAAAGCGCAGAAGCAGCAGGAAGCCGAGGCCAACTGTCGCCCGCCCGCCCGGGAGGGAGCGAGGGAGCCGCACCGGGGTGAAGAGGGGCAATCGGATCCACCGGGAGAGGGGGACGGGCTGCAGGCGGGGCTGTCCCCTCCCCACCTCTATATCCCTAGCACTTGTCCTCATTCTAAACTTTTTGGGGTGATGAAAACGTTCTCAAACTGGATTGTGGTGATGGTTACCCACCTGAATAAATTTACTAGAAATTGTCACTCCTGTAATCCTAGCTACTTGGGAGGCAGAGATCAGGAGGATCGCGGTTCCGAAGCCAGCTGGGACAAATAGTTTGTGATCCTATCTTGAAAAGAAACACAAAACAACGCACAAAAGGACTGGCGGAGTGGCTCAAGATGTAGGTCCTGAGTTCAAACCCCAGTGTGTGGGGGGTGGGGTTGGGGGGAAGCAGAGGAGGTAGACCTCCAGGCAGAAGTGATGGTGGTGGGAGCAGGGCAGGTGCTGGGAGCCAGGAGTGTGGGGCCAGGTCTAAGTAGAAGACTCTAGAACAGCAAGTTGAAGGAAGCAGCAAGCACCCTCTTCTGCACACACCTTAAAGACTGCTAACGTACATGAGCGTGCAGGGCTATGAGAAGTGTTAAAAATTCAGAAATCTCTTTAACTCATGGATATCCGCAAAGCCCTCAGAAAGAAAGATGGGAAACAGAGTCTTGGAAGACTTGGAACCAACCAACTTGCACAGGGGAGAGCCCTTTATGCTCTCCTGGCTGGCATCGCCCAGTCCAGCATGTACAGAGCAACAGGCCCGTCCAGTAGGACACAACCGTGAGGGTTGGGGAGCAACAGAGCTCCCCACTAGAAGTCCATGAAAATTCAGCAAAAAATGTGAGCCCAAGTGTTGAGGAGGGGCGTGTTGGTGCCTCAGCTCAGTGACACACACTGTAAGATGCAGAGGACACCCGTGGTGAGAGGGGTCAGGAGTGTTTTATGCAAATGTCACACTGTGTTTCCTGAAGCCCCTCCATGGTCACCTAAGAAGCTAAAAAATCATCTAAGGGCATCCGAGAAAGCTGCAGCAAGTTTTCCTTTAGACCTCTTCAGAGCTATGCCAGGAAAATAAATAAAAGAAAAAGAAAAAGCAGGAAAATGATGCCAGATCAGACATGAATGAGGATAAAAGATGTTTGTTCTAAGCAACACATGCTCGAGAGAGCAGGAATAATGGGAAAACCTCACTGTTAATCACCTGCAAGTGATCTATAGTGTAAGAACCTATTAAAATGATGTACACTTGTTTATTGCTTTTAAGCTCAATTTTATGGATGTATAATTCATCATAAAAGAACATCATGATGAGTGTTAGCACATGCAACCACTACCACAATGAAGATATAGACCCTTTCCAACACCCCAGAAAGTTCTCCTGTGTTCTTCACAGAAAATCCCTTCCTGGGCCTAAGCACCAGACACGCCCAGATCTGCATTCTCTTACTATGAGTGAGTTTGGCTATGTTAAACTTTTATGTCTGAAGGCGGGAATGAATATGGTCAAAGTATATTACATATATGTGTGAAAATAGCATAACAAAAACCACTAAAATCGTGTAAAAAGCTGGGGGAGGAGGGAAGGAGATTAAGCTGGGTAAAAGGGGGTGAATTTGGTCAAAGTCATTCCATGCATGTATGGAAATATCACAATGAAACCCTGTTTTGGAATTAACTTATGCTAATAAAAATAAAATTTTTATTCAAATGAAAAATGACATGTACTTTTTGGTGTATGGCTGTTTTTTTTTTTTTTTTTTTTTTTTTTTTGCTAGTCATAATACTTCTGAGATCCACTTCTGTTGTTGCAGCTCTCTGATTCACTCCTCTAGCTCATCCTCTCTGGTCAGTATGATGTCACCCATATAATTGCCACCGTGATGTTCTACAGGATGTCAGGTAATCCAGGTCTCTTAGCACTAACTATATTATGACAAAGGGCAGGAGAGTTAACATACTTAAAACTAATATTCCCTTGTTTTTTTGTTTTTTGTGAGACTGGGGTTTGAACTCAGGGCTTCATACTTGCAAAGCAGGCACTCGACTGCTTGAGCCACACCTCCAGTCCATTTTGCTCTAGCTGTTTTGGAGGTGACTGCTCAAGAACTATTTTCTCAGGCTGGCCTCAAACTGATATCCTCCCAATTTCAGCCTCCCAAGTATCTAGGATTACAGGCGTGAGGCACCAGTGCCCAGCAAAAATTAATATTCTTACGTGTGGTATGTGAATGCAAACTGTTTCTGATTCTCTTTTTATGAGAAGGGGAAGAACACATTTGGCAAGTCAGGGCCCCATTCTGTGTACCTAGGCCCATGAAAGGAGCACACTGCTGAGATGTCCATGTTTTGAGCCTGCTTCTTTAGCAGCCTCATAAATTCTACTCAGTATAGTTCTAAGAAATGGATTTTTCTGGCTGAGTTGGTGGTGAAGGCCTGTAATCCCA